ATAAAACACGTGTAAGCGATTCTTCTTTGAATATGCCGCGAGCACGAACTCAGGTGGTTCGACGTTCCAGCGGTGAGCTGCTCTGTGCCACTGCCTTAAATAGCAGCTGGGGAAATCAGCCAGATCAGCCGCAGGTGGACACCATCCACAGGGGTGCGTGGGCCAAGAGTGAGAGCCCGTAATGAGCTCCACCCAGGCAGAGAGGGGGAGGAGAGACAAAAAACTAAAACTAACAACAACAAAACCTGTAGCCAGCGTGGGCCAACCAGAGAGACACGGGGACCGTGACAAAATTACTGTTCACAGACACTCTCCATCCAATCTGGCTGAGCTTGAGCTATTTTACAATGATGTACATGTACATGTTGTACATGTGCGAAGCTGGTAGAGACATACCCCAAAAGACTTGCAGCTGTAACAGCAGCGAAAGGTGGCACTACAAAGTATTAATGCAGGGGGCTGTATACAAATGCACGCCACACCTTTCAGATTTTTGTTTGTTTAAAATTTTCAAAACCAAAATGACTAAATGTGTAAATGATCAAAGGGGTAGGAATACTTTTTCAAGGCTCTGTACTCTGCCAGCCTCTCGGTTATGGTGTTCCATGTATGCCCTACCTGCACCCTGCTGTTATGTGCTGGATTGCCTCAGAGGCATCTTTGTACCTCTTTCTGGTGTGGTCCATGCAGTGCAAGGGCCCATCCTTCCACGATGACCAGTCCTTAGTCTCCTTCCTTTTGCTTAGCGTACAGTCTGGATTTGGGGTGAAAACCTTGATGCATGATGTGGACCTTCCTTGTCTTGATATCTTCCTTTGGCCAGCTGATTGTTCCACCAGGATATCTGATCAACAGCAGTGAGTAGGTGTTCATAACCCCGATCTTTTTCTTTCCATTCAGCTGACTCCTCAGGACTTGCCTACACACACACACACACACTCACCTCGAACCGATATCATTTAATCTTAGAGTCTACATACTCTACTTTCTTCCATAAACAGCAACCAAACTTACATTCCTACTTTTTTCCTTCTGTCCAAAAGAGACAAAGTGTTTGATAAATAACATATATTCATAGTAATGTTATGAAGCCATTATTATTATTATTATTATTATTATTATTATTATTATTATATGTTTGGATGCTGTTTAGAAAAAACTAAGCAGAGATGGTTAAACAATGAGTGCATTTAGTTTGCAAACATGAATACACAGAAATTACATACATTTCTCTAATCGTGACATACAAGCGTCACGTATTTGACATTTGTCATAATTTGTGTGTTGTGTCGAATCCTTTACCCTGACTGTTGCACAATGTCACAGACAGCCCAATCCCTGAACTGGACACATGGTTAAGATAATGATGGATCCATAGCACTGATATATTGTTGATCTTCACAGGCATAAAAAGGAGACGTAACCAGATGGAAGAGGATTCGAGCTTGGTGATACTTGTTACTGGATTCAGATCACAACATTTTGTGGCACTGCCTACTCCAGAAAACATAACATTTTAGATGAAGCATTAGCATTTTTTTTCCTTTTGCTTGCATGTGATGTATTGGTTCCCTCTTGACTGTAAGAGATGGATCATTCCTCTCTGAGCGTGGGTATTCTTCAAAGCAGCTTCCTGCATGCTGCTGACAAACAGAATGGTAAAAGAAGCTGATGGTCTTCATTTATTAAATTTCCCAGTAGAGCTTGTTTGACATTTTTATGGCAGGAAGACGTGTTCCTTAAAAGTTCAATGCAAATTAGCTGTCAAGACTTCACTGGGATGCCCTAGAGGTCGGGGAGCTACATTTGTATCACTGGACACTGATAGAAATGTTACACGAGCCTCAGCATCTGATTTACACTTTAACATGATTTCCACAAAACGAGCATGTGGACCATTTCCCATGAGAAATGCAAAGGTGTTATCCAGATGCAGAGGCCATCATCTGATTTATTACTGAAAAACATGCATGTGTAACGGATGTGACGTGATTGTGATTTAACACAGGTGTTATTCTAGAAGGGAAACCCTCAAAAACGGACGGAGCAGTGGAGCAGCCAAGGGAAAAGAATTAAAAACTGGCTCACTAAAATATAATTTATTACGTTTAAACAGTTAAAAATGTAAAGGAATTACATACTTGCAGCCGTCACCTGCTACTCCTATAGAGATTGACAGACCACGTGACTTTTGCGCATTGCATGCCGGGAACTCGTGGCAAAAAAATCCAAGGACCGCATCAAATGCAAGCATTTGCAGCATCGCTAAACATCCATTCTTCGGTTCCAATAAATTCTTGCTTTTTCTTTGCCCCCCCAAAAAGGTTCTGTACAAAACGAAGGAGAACAATGCCGGTCCGTACAAAGACAGACTTGATGAAAAGTCAAAAAAAAGATACGAGGAAAAAATCAAAGGAGTGAAAGGGTCAGACCCTTACGAGCACACAGAGGGACAAAAGACGTTAGCGTGCTGCCCAACTTTCACCACGCTCATATTTATAATTATATGGTTCTTGGAGTGAGTGCATACACTCATGAAGTTTAGTAACTTCAGGTCACTGCAACAAGCCCAGGTACAGTTTACCGACAGATGGGTGCAGGACCTTGAAATGCACCGTGTAGAAACTCCGATATACTCTCACGGAACAATTAACATTTTGGAAGATACAACGGTCCACCTTCTTAGGTAGATAAGCCCATATTAGCTCTGTCTATCCAGACGTTTTAGTCTCAGCAAATTTAAGTGCAAGACTGTATATGAGTGAAATGAAATGAGGCCTGAAAAAACAACAGCTTTTAAATGAAAACTTTGTAACCCTCTGTGGGGGTCACTCCCACTGGGTTTAAATCTGGGACTCTCGCCATTTGACCTTTGAACTGAAGAAGCTTCTCGGATGAGAGGTGAAACGTCTTCAAGCAACTTGAAAAAGTCCAGACGCTTTTCTTTGCAAGCTCCTTTGACTACGACCTGGATGACTGAGAACCTTCACAGACAAAACTTGGTAACGTTTTTTAAACTCATGACTCTATTACAGTGAGTGGAAGCAATATAGAAAATGATGACCTGTATGGTGAAGGACAGGCAAAGCTGCAAACACAGCAAATTGGGGAGGTGAATCGTGCTGCACATGAAGTACGCAAACAGATTTGAACATTTATTGCAAAGACACAAAATGCCTCAGATACTGAATGTTAGAAATAGGATGCTAACTTTCACATAGCAATGTTTAGCAGACAATGTTTATGAAACTTTAAGTTAATTTCTTATATGCAAATATTATCATTCTGAATAAAGACGTCCAACTGAGACGCTTCACTTTTTCTTGTTTTTCATGGTTTTGAAAGTTGTTAAAAGAGATAAATTAAACAAATAAAAAATGACTCTGACACTAATTGGAGATTAGAGGTCACTAGGATTAACATTTAAAGAGCTGGACTCTGCATGTGAACTATTGTATCACGCTGATTTGTATCTTATTCTATTTTCATTCAAATACAATACTATTGTACTTATTCTTAGTTTATTTTATTTCAGTATAGTCAAAAAGATTATCTTCTATCTATCTATCTGTCACAGGGTGCCGAGGCAGGCCGTGTGGAATATAAACGGACCCAAGATGCAGACTGCGTAGTTGTGAGCGAGCTTTATTAACCAAAGGGGTGGAGCACAACACAAAGCAGGTGTGGCGAGAAACAGAACTGAAAATACTCTAAACTGGGAAAAACTAGAACTTAAACAACAAAACCAGAACACGAATGAGAGTACCTTTGCAGGGAGAAAGTCCAATTTGGAGAGGCCTGGAGCGCCCCCCCCCCCAGCTTGTTGATGACCTTAACACCTTCTACTGCAGATCTGAAACACTAGCTCACAGCTCCTATCTGCTCACCCTCACTTCACACCTACACAAACAACCGTGGTCCCCGAGTTGGACGGAAAGCCACAGACTGAGCAGTATGTATATGTTTAAGCTCCACCTTTGTTGTAGCTTCTTCGTAATGTAGGGCGCCATGGACTCACACCAGGGAGCACAGGTGAACAGAATATTACTGACAAAAAAGGGGAAGCAAAACACGCAGAAAAGACGAGGGACTATCAAAATAAACCAAGCAGTAACACACACACACACACGGGTCTATGTGGTATGGCGGGACTATACTACGTCAATCCGCCCGGTGGTGGTTTAAGTGGACTACCCTTTTGAAAGGACTTAGAGCCAAGGGAGCGAGGTTAAAGTGTTCGAAAAAATCTGAAAAAAATTTGGGTCACTTCAGACCTCATACACTCCCTATAGAAGTCTAGATACACTGATACACATCAACCAGACTCTATTGTGTTTTCTGGAGACATTGTCCACTTGACAACAATGTGTTTTATGAGGTCCAAAAAAAACAATATTGGGTCTTTAAAGGGACAATGATGTAATATGTAAATAGCTCATCATTACCATGAATACACATCTGACAGGACACAGGATTACTGGAACATCATTTTATTAGTGTTCTTGGATCTGAACATTAATTTTAACCATAAATAAAAAAAGAAATCTATGGACAAAAATGCCCACGCTTCCCACAGAAATATAAAAATATAGAAAACAGAAAAATTAAAAACATTTAAAATGAATTTTAATAGTTTAAAGGTAAATATTAAGGGGAGAAAATATGCATTTATAATTTTTTATTTTAAATATAACCTGTCAAAAAAACCCTAAATAAATTAAATGTAAAAATTATGAAATACAAACTACTTCTGTATTTAACAAGAACTTTTTTTTCTTTAAACAGAACATCAGTGTTAACAACAATTGGCAATCTGACCAAGATGTAAAACCACAGCTCTCTAAACAGTTATTTTAGTTCATTTTTTTCCTGCCTTTTTGCAGTTAATCCTCTGTTTCTTACAAAATCTCTTATGTTTTGAACTGTTCTTCCTGCCAACACCGGATCTTCTACCAATTTGCAATGACTGCATTCATTTTTGGTGGCTAGTTTCCCTTCGTTTATGTGGTCTTTAAAATGCTCATCACTGCAGCAACCTCAGCCTTGGACCACATGTTTTTGGGAGCTCTTCGGGAATTGTGGGATTGAGCAGCATTTTTCTCTGGAAGATATATAAAGTAGTAGTAGTTAAAACAAACAAAAAACCAAACAAAAAAAACAAAAAACATTTGGTGGTTAAAAGAATGGATGCTACCCTGTACTAACTTCTGAAATGTGTTGCTACCATCAATATCAAAACGAGCTAAAATTCTCTTTGAAAATTTATCAAATTTCTAAAATGAGACAACATTTAGTGTTCCGCTGTGAATAAAAGACTGAATAAAAAGTTGAATAAAAGTCTCTTGATGCATGCTCAATCATCCAGGTAAGTAAATCCCAAAACGTTGATTCTGTTAATCTGGACGTAGCGTTTTCAGTGGGAGAAACATTTTGTCACTCATCCAAGTGACTTTTTGCCACCACTCTGCAGTTTGCCATATGTTGCAAAGTGATGAAACAATAATAAGCTTAGAGAACCAACTGCACCCCTTACCTTCAGAGGGAGCAGCAGTCTCACTTGCTGCAGGCATTGTGAGTAGTCCTTCATCTGCTGATTACACAATTTGATTAAGTTTTAATATTTGTAACAAACATTTTATCCACAGAAACCACAATCTACAGTGTCTTGGGGCTGCGCTGTGTTTGTGGAATCAGCTACTGCATGTACAGGCTCACTGGTGCCACACGCCGACATTGTGAGTGATGTGTCATCATCATCTGATTCACTCTCACTGTCCTTTGTTTCAGCATCACTTAATGCAATTTCATCTGAGAAATTGTGGGGGAAAAAAACCCAAAAAAACCAAACACATACAACCCCCCAAAAACCTCACATTAACAACGAGATATGACAAAAAACAGAGCAAATACTGGAAATTATAGTACATAGTTTTACTATTTAAGGCCTGCTGCTGGGTTGTTGCCCTCCTATGGCCTACTCCACATCCAGGTAGCACCTCCATGCTCTGGACACTACACTAACAGACACAGCAAACCTTCTTGCCACAGCTCACATTGATGTGCTACGCTAGATGAGCTGCACTACCTGAGCCCCTTGTGTGGGTTGTAGACTGTCTCATGCTACCACTAAAATGAAATCACCGCCAGCATTCAAAAGTGACCATAACATCAGCCAGAAAGCATAGGTGCTGAGAAGTGGTCTGTGGTCACCACCTGCAGAACCAGTCCTTTATTATGGTGAATTGACTATAATTTCCACTTGTTGTCTACTCTATTTGCAAAACAGCATGTGAAACTGGTTGTCAGTGTTACTTCCTAAGTGAACAGTTTGATATAACAGAAGTGTGACTGACTTGGAGTAACATCGCATTGTTTAAGTGTTCCCTTTATTATTTTGAGCAGTTTACGTTATGGAATGGGGAATTGAGGACAATCCCAAGTATACCATTTTTACAAGGTCCTGCACCAATGAGGTAATACTGCATTTCTTTAATTAGACGTGACCACCCATTAATTAAAAAGGGAGCAGTGTTCATTTCAGCTAGTCTTAACTTGTTGAACTCTATTAATGCTTTTTACTATACACTGTACCTATTCACTAAATGTCTCACCTTTGCACTTATAGCCAAGCCACTTGAGGGAGGAAACCGGTCCCACACACTGAATGCACTTGTCCAAAGATGATATTGTTGTGCACACCAGACGATGATTGTGACACTGTTAGCAAAATATTGCAACATTTATTTGTTTTGGACAGTTGGAAAGGTGTGTTTTCAATTCAGTTGCAGATATCAACTAATAAACTTCGTCCATGTAAATCACATCACACCCAGGTGACTGCCAAACACACACACACACAGCATCCATAAAGAATGATGATAGATTAAATTATTAGTTCATTAAGTGGTACACTGGATTATATTTACCCTTTCAGGCTCTGGATGTTTCAGGTCCAGATCATTGTTTGGAAAGCTGTTTGGTTGCGGCTTTAGGCAGCTCACAGTCTTCTGAATCTGGCTGGTCTCAGTCTTCGTGTGTAACAGATAGAGAATGAAGACAAAAGAACAGTAATCTGACAGTTACTAAAAATGCATCACTCAAGAGGATGAATAGACCATTTCACTATCGGCAAATAGCGTAAGGTACACATCGTGCATGAGAAACATTCATTAAAATCTGTCCTAGGTCAATGTTACCTCTTCAAAATCTTGCACTGAAGAAGAATGCATGGCTTCTGAGCCTTGCTGAGGCATTTCTTCATCAAGATCCTGCAACAAAGAAAAGATGGCACAAAGATTAGACCAAGTGCTCTTCTTGCAACTGTACTGGGCAGGCCTGTGCTTCTGTCTTTAATTTGCATGTGTGTGTGTGGGGGGGGGCCTTTCCACTCAAGAAATGTTTTCTTCTGAAAAAAATACTGGCTACAATAGTTAACAACTGATTCCTCCACCCTCTTCCACTTATCCTTATCAGGATTGTGGGGTAGCAGTTTTGGGGCCTATACCAGCTACCATAGGGCAGTACAACCTGGACAGATCACCAGTCTAACATGGAAGGACAAGCATTTGCATTCACACCAAAGGGCAGTTTTGAATCACCAGTTAACCTAACCCCATAAGCTACATCTTTGGACTGTGGGAAGAAGCCAGAGTACACAGCCAGAGAGAGCCCATGCACTAAAGCAGTAAAAAGTGCCTAAAACAAGTTAAGAAGTTGTATAGTACTATCTATCTTAATGTTCAAGCCTGAGTTTCAAAAAATTTCAACATAGAAACAAAGCACATGCAGTCAGTTCTGCATGCTGTAGGTCAAACTGTCAAGACATACGAGAAGACCCCTCCTAAAACCAGAGTGATGTCACCATGAAGCAAACTTTGACGGAGTCCCCCAATAACAGTGTGGTCCTCCTAAGTCACATTTGGGTGGTTAACACACACACACACACACACACACACTCAGATGTTATCCAGACTTGCACTTTGAAACAATGAAAAGGACCTACAAGCCACGGTCCATGTAAATCACATCACACCCAGGTGACTGCCAAACACACACACACACAGCATCCATAAAGAATGATGATAGATTAAATTATTAGTTCATTAAGTGGTACACTGGATTATATTTACCCTTTCAGGCTCTGGATGTTTCAGGTCCAGATCATTGTTTGGAAAGCTGTTTGGTTGCGGCTTTAGGCAGCTCACAGTCTTCTGAATCTGGCTGGTCTCCGTCTTCGTGTGTAACAGATAGAAAATGAATATACAGTGCATTTTTGAAGAGGCTTTTGAAACATTAAATAAACTGTATGAGAAAGATAAGTTTCAAGCTATTGTCTTTAAAATATTCACTGTCATGTATAGAGAATTTAAGGCCCTATGATTAAGAGACAAATAGTCAGTGTGATTTCTTTATTTTTTAAGCCATTGCTAAAGGAGTAAAACAATCACCTGTAGCAGCAACGAACTGTCACTAGGGCCCATTTATCTTCGAGGGACAAAATTTAAAATGAATCTAACTAAAGAGGCTACACAGCAAAATCTCCAGTGTTAAATTAACACTAGAGAGTGTCTATATGGGTCCACACAACACTGTTGAGTGTTGAATTAACACTTTTGACAGTGTTATATGTTTAAAAGTAACCTAGTCAGTTTTGAAGATTAACAAAGACTAACACTGAGCAGTGCTGATTTTCTAACACTGGAATATTTCTAACATTTTGAGTTATTTTCCAGTGTTAGAAAATCAGCACTGCTCAGTGTTAGCCTTTGTCAATCTTCAAAACTGACTAGGTTACTTTTAAACATATAACACTGTCAAAAGTGTTAATTTAACACTCAACAGTGTTGTATTTAACACTCAGAGGTGTGGACCCTTATAGACACTCTCCAGTGTTAATTTAACACTGGAGATTTTGCTGTGTAGAATCACATTAAACATCAATCACTGTTAAAATTTAGAAACCGAAAGCCATTTTTTATTTCTGCATACCTGCTGATATTTTTTAGTGCTTTTAGAGGGCTTTGATGTGGCAGCCATCACAATTGCCTGTTTTCCATTAGTACCTACCCCTGTTTTTCCAGTAGGTTATAGTACCATGTAGTTTTTCAGTAACTACTGCACCAAGGTTCCAAGTGATCCAAAGTGATCAGAAAATTTGACATAGACTGAATGCCACCAGGTGGCTGGTCAATGGTGTCACTCGATAAGTTATGAGTGCGCCTCCTTCGTGAAAATCCAAGCCATCATTTTTGAAACTCTGAAATGTTTGAAATAGCGACCAAAATTAACAGCGTGATCCCTGAATTGAACACTAAAGTATAGACTGAGCAGCAGGCATTTTGTCACCTTGACGTCCATGCTTGCTGTGGCATTTATATCACTGGATGCTCGGCTGCATTGCTATAGTTACCCCAGGCACAGTAGGTGATACTCAATTCAGTGAAAAACTAGATGCCCTAAGTCACGTTAAGCCAATTTGAGTAGGTACAAATGTAAAAATGGCTTAGGGTATGCAATTTATCAGTTCCAAAAAGTACAGTTGTAGAAATACCTTGCATCTCCAGAGCCAATCCGAGTCACCATAATTATAGTCTATTTCTTCGCCTGGACTTATGTCTCTGCTTGCAAATAAGCATAGATGGGGCTTTCCATTGATATTTAATATTTTCATCTTAGCACTTGGACTGATGTGGTTGTCGTTGACAAGTCTGCCTAATGACCCATCTTCTTGAGATGCATCCACACTGTGGGGTTAGGCAAAAAAGTATTAGCTTAACTAGTTAGGAAGCTTTTTTTTCATAAATCAAAAGCAATGTGTAATTTAATCTTAATCAAACTACACTGATATAATACGCACCACCAGAGTTTTCCATCAAACTTGAATTCAAACATGAACACCTTCAGGCTGTCATGATAAACTCTGTGTCTCCGCTCACATTCTTCTTTTGTTATGAGTTTACCTCTGTATTCCAAAAGAAAGTCTCCTTTTTGGAATGGAACAGTCGTGAAAATGCCCCGACCTGAATTGCAGAGGCATACCAAGTGAGTGACAAAAGACAAAGTGACAAACTCCAAATCTAATCCAAACTAAAGGCCAACTTACCTTTGAAGGCATTTATGTAGTGGATATCAAGTCCCAGTTTGTCCCTTCCAGCAGAAACATGACAGACTGCATCCTCCCGTGGAGGAATGCGTCTCCTTCGCATGTTCTCCTGTACGTTTTGATTGGCTGTATTACCAAAGCATATAAAGTATTACGATTAACGTCATCATTGTCATCATCATCAGTAGTAGCAGAACTAGCAGTAGTGTAGTTTACAGCATAAACACAGCTGACTTATTCATAGTGCTAATTTATGCCTTCTTTTAAAATGTTAAAGGCCTAGTACTCAAAATGGCGACATGTGACATTTCTGTAATGGCGACTGCAGAGAGTGATACAAGTACTGAGAAAGCTTAGGCATCAAAACTGTAAGAAGTTTTTTCTTCAGGCATATAAATAAATACACGACTAAATACACTTATACCCTTGCTTTTATTTTAGGGCTGTCAGCAGAATGGACAGACATTGGACAAACTGCCACCGAGTAAATCCTAACACGGGTTAGCCCGCTTTATCGCGTTGACGCGGTTAGTCGTCAGCCCTATTTTATTTACTCAATGACAAACGCTGGGGCCGTTTTACTTCTTCAAAGACTCACTAACAGTCCATAAAGCATAAATTAAACCAGTTTAATATAGGCCTGTGCACCTATAATTTCATATAGTATTAAAGTCATGGTGCATTTTACATTAAAAAAGGCTTACCTTTGTGTTTTTAATCCGTCTTCGTATTGCCGTCGACATAAACTTGTTAAAGGGCACGCGCGCGAAAGTTGTGGCGCCGTTTCCTGTAGGTACCGCCTATATATATAGCCTACCAATCACAATGACTTCCGGCCGTGTGTATTGAAAATGTGTATTAAATTGCAGTACCTACACACATCCACTCTAACTCGAAACGTCGCTGTGCAATACACTGGAATACACAAAAATCAGGTGAGGGGTATAGGTGGACTTTTAAGAAAATCAGAAAATCTTTTAATTATAGTTTAATAAATGAATTTACACTACAGTTTAAGCAAATACAGGTCAAAAGATAAATAATGACCTCATAAGAAGTAGAAAAAATTATTATTTAGACACTTAAAAATGCATTTACAAGTCATGTTTTAGGGGGACACATGAATACACAGCAAAAAGTCGAAATGTCCCCGGAGCCCAGGTACAGCGCAGGTCAAATGTCAATCCATACCACATAGACGCACTCACACACACACACAAACACGCACTCACACACACACACACACACACACACACACACACACACACACACACACACACACACACACACACACACACACACACACACACACTCACACACACACACACACACACACACACACACACACACACACACACCCAGGGAAATGCAAAGAAAAGTCAAGACATTAACAAAGATGCCCAGTAAATCACTGTGATGTGAAAGAAGTGTTCATGTGACTGCACGAACACACACTTTGCATTTTACAGTGTAAAAAAACGCACATGTTATTAAGCACAAATCTAGTGCTGCATATAGTCTAATTAGGTGGTTGTCTGTGTATGCAGCAGGGAGCAGCAGACGTCAGGTTGACTGGAGTGTGCTGTAGCGATTTGTAACTCTTAAGTCATGTCTGCTGCTTCGCCGCTTTCAATTTACAGGCTCTTCTTAACCAGCTAAGCTCCCATGACACCAACACACACACAACTGCACATTTAGACACACACACACAGTCTATGCCTCCAGCCCATTTTTCTACAGTACTAATCACCCTCAGGATGCCAGCCCCAGCCCTCACACCTTCATGCTTTGTTTGTGACAGCCCTTTTCCCCCAAGAGCAGCAGGGTGGGGGCGCTGGATGGGATCTCACTCCCATTTTGTCACTGACAGACGTGCACACTGTGTGGAAAAGTGAAAAGTGAATGCTTGGCTGCTTACCTCGTTTCCATCCCTCTCTCCTGCTGCCTATGTTGCTCTGCCTGCAGGGAATTAACAAACAGATAAACATTCCTGTGATTTCTGTGACACGTGTTTGGTGGAAAGTTTCCAGCTAATTAAAGGGACGGAGGTTTGATGCATTTCAATGGAATCTGGCAGACAGTGAGTGGAGTGGCAGTGACACTGGTGTTCTGTGTTTCTGAGAATGTTTTCACTTCCTCTGTTCTTTTTCAACTAATCTGATTTATACAATAGAATAGAATAGACTGCCTCTATTGTCACTATACAGATGTACAATGAGATACAGAGCATCTCCAGCTCTGTGCAAACGTGTGGGAAAGGGGGGGCACAGTTTCTGCAGCACTATATACATATGAACAGTATTTAGAAAAAAGAAAAACAAATATATAAAATGTACAAATACACAAACCTGGAAAAAAGAGAAGAAGTAAATATGTAAATAAATAGTGTTATGTATTTACAGTTTAGGTTATTGCACATATTGCACAGTGGTGCGATGAGATGGAGTTGTGAAGAGGCCCTGGTCAGACACCAAAGAGGCATAAAGATTAGGATGAAGATTCCAAACTCCCTCCTCACTGCTACCGATCCATGTCTGCTTCACCGAGCTTATAAAGATCCTTTCTGCATTCACAAAGAACCTCAAACAATGAATGTTAACACTCATATACGAGTGTTAGAAGTGTTACAAATGGAATAAATCGAATTATCTCTGTAGCAAAAGTTACTTCTTTACAATGGTCACATTTATTCAACATCATTTCAGTTACAAGTACATTGTTTCCATCTATCATTTAATGTACTTCACAAATATTTTTCATTTCTGATTCTCTGATAACAGAGAATTCTCCTTCTCTCCTTTTGACTTTTACCTTTTAACTTCTCTCGTCTTTTTAACTCATCAACATGTGAACTTCATTCTTCATCAGTCACATCAAACATGACTTCATCTGCTGGTTCGTGATATCAACAACTTTTCTATTTCTCCGTCTTTTTGCTCCACTTTTATCAGTTCACACACACACACACACGCACGCACACACAGAGACACACAGGCACACGCACGCACACACAGAGACACACAGGCACACGCACGCACACACAGAGACACACAGGCACACGCACGCACGCACGCACACACACACACACAAACACACACACACCTTGGTACCTTTTACCAAGTACTAAAAAGGTACCACAGAGACAGCTCTAGTTTCCTATGAGCATCAAATGAGTGGAGCTTTCAGTAACAACAGCTGACTTTTAAACTGAGCTTTATTAACATGTTAGGCCTCTTTCAATCTTACTGTTCGGTGCCTTTCCTCACAGACACTCACTCTGTCATAGTGTGCGGCTGCAGACTGTGTGAGGTTGTAGCGTGGACCCAGAAGCAGCTGCATGGAAACAGAATTTAACTTTAACCAAGAGTGAGTCCTTCACTGGAAAACAAAGCAGGGCGACACCTTTGTTAGTTTGCAAAAGTAACTAGAACTAAAATAGGAGAACTAAAACACTAAATACTCGGGAATAAGAACATAAAACCTGGAACATGATACAAGATGAACAGACGACCTGACAAAGGACAAACACAACAAATACAGACAAGAGGAACACAGCTGGGATGAATACACCTAACAACACAGAGGAAGCAAAACTAAACACACTGAACACAGGACGAGAGGCTGTGAAAATAACACAGGAAATACACCGAGACGCAGAGTAGAACATGTGGCCTGATGCACATGGGAACAAGACAGACTGAGAAAGGGAGGAGACACAAAGAGGCAAACATGGAAACGTTTAAGGGAGACGAGACACAGAGGGAGAGCGAGGGACCTAACAGACACGAGAAAGGACTAAACCCAACAGTACACAAGAGGAAACTCAAACAACTGAGGATCTCAAAAACGAATAAACTCAAAGAGCTGGGTCACATGATCCAGAACCATGACAAACCTCTTACACCACCACCGTGGATTTAAGCTAAAACTACCACAGAGGTGAATTCTGAGGTGTTCAGGGTTGCACTCTCTGCTCAGGTTCAACCAAATGCTGCAAAACTGAATGATGTTGCTTCGCACTGTAAATGAACAATGACCCAACGCACACCACATATGTACAGTTACATGTTTTTATTTTGAAAGTGAATTTAAAAAATGGTAATAGTAGGTTTGTGACATTACCGTCCCTCTGACGTAGAAGTTTGTGTCCCACTGGGCAGCACTAAGAGTTTAAAGTCAACACCTAATGGTGTTTGGTTTTTAATAAAATTTCAAGGAAATACATCACTTTCATTTATATTTGGATTAGAGTGAGTAAGACTTCAGGCCTCACGTTGCTACACTAAATTTATAAACCATTTATAACGGTTTGGTTTTTGATCATGAAAGCCCAAAGATCCGCTGCTTCATCACAGGCTTTGTGAAAAGTTATAAAATCTGTGTTTTTCATTATAGATTATATTTTTGATGCAGTTTTTTTGTTTGAAACACATCATTTCATGAAAAGTTTATGATGTTGCCAAAACACAAAATTTGTAAATGTGAAATTGCAATTGAAAGTGGAAAAATTAAAAATTGAGTTTGACAGTGGATGTGTCAACGTTACAATCAGAAATAGAACATGTCACATATTTTTAATGAATGTAATTTATATGGAGAGTCAACAAGAGGATTTCTGAAATCGACCATCCCTGGTCTTGGTAAGACAAAAGCGTTTATGAGATGTGTTTGGGGTAAGAAGCACATGTGCGAAGCTTTCCTGGCAGCCCAATACAGCAGAAGTAATGGTGTGAGAGCAGTGGTCCTAACCTGCTTAGAGAGAGAGAAACTACTCAAAACACATCCTTGTTGACATGTTTGAAGCTGCCCTGGGCAACAAAAGCTGCCACTATACGCATTTCATTACCACGAGCAAACCCATTTTCAAATCCTGTTAGGGCTATCGGTGGGATGCCGAGACTTTGTTAACATGAGAGAGGGATTTCATATGAGTGCACACTGAGTGTGAGTGTGCATGTGTGTGCACGTTTCATTTTAACTCATGTGGATGAGCATCTACACTATATTATGTATAATACTTTACAGATCGCATATTTGGAAATTCTTTAATTTGGAGGCTTTTATGTACTTTATTTATTTAAAAAGAAAACATTTGCTGTACAAAACAG